TAATATAGTAAGGTTTCTCAAAGTTTAAGTCATGAGTGGCTGTGATGTTTCATCTAATTTTTTAACATTTGTCTTTTAAAATTAATTATTGAAAACAAAAGAAAACTTAAATGTATTTTAATAACTTTAGCAATTAATTCTAACAATTAATATTAAATAGCTAATTCTTATGTAAATTAATTCTAACAAGTTACAATTAAGTATTTTATGTACATTTATGTAATTTTTATATAAATTATAATATAATTTTATGTAAATCTATGTATAGAAAATAGATATATTATTTATCAAATCCAATAATATCCTTTACAAAAAAACATGTAAATGTTTTGGCCTTTTATATAGGTTATTGCAATTTTAAAATAAAAAAAAAACACAAAAAAATAACTTTAATAAAAAGAAGCATAAAATAAACCAAAGAAAAAAAAGATGATGTGAGAAAATTAATTAAAGACTGGTTTTAGGACTTTTAAGGCTGTTAAATCCAACAAGTCTCATTGGAGAATATAGAATTTAAACGTTTTTATACGCTTTCAAAGTTTTTAAAGCCAATTTACCAATCACCTCTAATGCAACTGAAATAATTTGTGTTGGATAAAATAACGTTCCTAATCAAGACTCTCGATAGAAAACTTTACTCCATCAAAAATTGTAAATTAAGTAAAATAGCAATGAATTGATGTAAAAGATAAAAATCACAGCAAAACGATAAATAGAGTAAGACAAAAATACAATCAAGTATCAATTATTCTCTCCTTATGATTAAAGTTCTAATGAAATAAACAAAAAGATGTATTCTAACACCTCTATTGAGATCGATGATGTATATGTCTCAGTAGAACCAAAGCATACTACACCTTATACGATCATTAGATTTTTACGGATGTATTTGATGGAAAAAAATATGACCAACCATTTTTATTTAGAAAACCGTAGTTAATATTGATTCATATATAAAAGTTAAAGATTTGTGCCAAAGAAGATGTTTTCCATATTCTGTAAATTTTACTAATGAAAGGTCTACTTCTTTTTATGTAGAACATTGTAAATGTCCAACAATTTGATACAAATGCTTAGTCTTCTAACTTAGA